CACAAGACCAAGTTCTGGTTACTAAAACATTAATAAAAACACACACAATACATTAACCCCTTATAGAAAGCATTATATACATCTATTCTCAGTAGGGTTTTCTTGTGAGTTACCTTCAGCAAGTCCTGTTTTAAAATCCTTTCAGATAGAAGTAAACAATCTGATAATGTCACTTGCTAGCTTTACTTACAGTTTTCTCCTGGACCTAGTCCTCAGGTGGCCTTTTAAGCAAAAGTATTTAATTACTGCCTACAACCTAAGGGAATGTGGAATTACAAATACAGCTAGATTACTGCGGCTTGCATTTGGTTCATAATTTGTATCTTCTGCTCATTTCCATTGCTCGGCGGCTTAGAATAGGTACTCACAGCTACGGGTACTCTAACAATACATGTCAACTTTAAATAAGATTTTTAATTTGTACTTCACAGAGAATGTTGAGAAAACAGTGAAGAGCATCATGGGGCTCGCTTTTGTGATGAGCTGAGTGAAGAGCTGTAGGTTTCTAGAACATGAACCTCTCATCAAAGGAACATGCATTGGCTTGGAGTTGCTCATTACACATGTGATCTGAATGCTCAGCTGATCTTGTGCACAACCAAGAGATGACCAGTGAATACCGCTAATCACATAGAATGTCACAGGCTATAAAAACCATTCAAGTGCAACTCATAGCTGTTTTGTCATGGGAATCTTAGAGCATTAATAAAAGCAGATTTATTTTTCAATAAAGCAGCTATTATATTTGTTTATGTGTTTGTCTGCGAGAATGCACAAGTACACACATGCATGCCATTGAATGTGAATTGAAGTCAGGACAATTTGCAGAACTCAGTTCTTTCTCTCTTCCATGTAGACCCCAGGAATAGAAACCAGCTGGTCAAGGACCTTCTCCTATCCAGTCATCTCCACTGGCCCAAGAGTTAATTTTGAATGAAGGGAATTCCAAAAACTGAGGAACTTAAAAAAAGTTAGAAATATTGAATTTTCATGACCTTTTTCTTCATGAATTACTCAGAAAACTAGATTCAAACTTTCCAAAATAAAAATTTTTTTGGCTTGCCACTAAAGCATAATAATTTTTGGTTTAAAAGGAGACGTTGGAGGACATGCATTGGAGAATTTTTTTTAAAACAACAAGCAAAAAAAAAGAAATCAGAGCACCAAGCAGGGTTATAGCTGAGGCCTCAATTCAGGGTTCGTAATTATGGGAAGCCATAACAGCACCAGTCACGGTTTTTGAATTTCTCCTCTCGGGAAAAAACAGAGAGGTGTATTCAGACCTGAAAAAGCCCTCCCTATGTCGGTGAGCCTATTGCTACGTGTGATTTGTCTAGAAGGAAGAAAGGAACATGGATGGGTGCAACAGAAAACATGATTTCTAACTGCAAGATGGAAGTCAGACGTGGGGAGCCCGGTGGGAAGGTGGACGAGGAGCAAGTGTTTAGGCTGTGGCTACCTCCTCTACACTTCCCGGCAGACTGATTGTAAAGGCAAGGCTGAACCCCTAAGCTTTCATAGACGGATGGGAGCAGAGGCGCTAGAAACAAACAGAGGGAGTTTTTTGGATGCTGCATGAGAAAGGGGGGAGAAAGAGATTGGAAAATGTTGCGAGCATTCTGTTCATGTTGTTACTTAGTGCAGTCTTGTCTCCCCAGCCCACTAGTCTGGAACAAAAGTCAGTCTCAAACATAACAACAGACACTGGGGAGCTCGCCAGCAAAAGATCACCTCCCAAAGAACAGGATGGTGATGGGGACTAATGCCAGCCAGCCTCAGGAAACAGAACGAGAGATGCTGCAAGCCAGACACCACAGCGTCTCCTTGCTGTAGAGGCCTGAACCGCAGAGGAGGGAGGGGACCTGAGCTTGACTTCAGTGATGCTGGGAGGTACCATATACCTGCCCCCTTAGGTACTGGAGGCTGGCTAAGACACAGCAGCAGTTGACTGAAAAACACACTATGACTGAGTGCCCAGTAGAAAAAACACGGAAGACCCACTTCAGGTAAAGGTAAACAGCTCATCGACCTCAACTTCATAGCATTTCCTCAAAAACGAATCCCGAGTGGTGCTCATGTTCAAACGTCAGACCCTAAGCTGGGTATCCAGAATCCACGTAGAAGTTCAGAGTATTGTGGTACATTTGTTATCACAGGGACAGGGAGGCAGAGACAGGCAGATTCCTGGGGATTGCTGGCTAGCTAGTTTAGCCTACAATCTTCACCATCACCCAAAGAACGACACACAACTCTCTCTCTCTCTCTCTCTCTCTCTCTCTCTCTCTCTCTCTCTCTCTCTCTCTGTCTGTCTCTCTGTCTCTCTGTCTCTCTGTCTCTCTGTCTCTCTCTGTCTCTCTCTCTCTCTCTCTTTTTCTCTCTCCTGTGCTGAATCCCAAGTGATGGACAACTGGAAAAGCTGCTTTATCTTTTCTGGCCACACTGTGCGAATATAGACAGAAGTATGCCCATTTCAGTACCTGCCCATGGCTGGGCTGTTTGCCAGATATTGTGATCAGAGAGAGCAGCATCTAGCCTTTGCTTTGGGACAACTCACTTCCTCATGCATCGGCAATTTCAATAAAAGTATAATATTCAGCAGAGGGGTGGAGCATGCCTGGGGATCTCAGGAGGGTTCGGTAGCTCAGCCAGCATGCTATGGAGACTGTGACTCCTGATATTAGCAAATGGTCAGAAGAGGGCTGGCATTCAACTGTTGCTTTGAAAAAATAAAATGGTTTCTGGCCTCTGTATTTTGCTTGGAAAAAAGCCTGTTTCAGACTCTTTTTTCCCCCAAGTTCCTATTTGACTCAGTTACAGTCTTGGAGTCAGTACTGACCATGGGATTGTTCTCTGTCCCCAATTCCCTAGTGGTAACCCACCCCTATCAACTTGTTTACCTAACCCTGCTGCTGCCTTCATTCCCACCAACTGGTGACAGCCAGTCCTGGTTCCACTCATAAACATCCCTGGAGCTAGCCACTCCCTCAGTCTCAGCTGGCTGTCCCAGCTATACCTGTTAAGTCCCATTTCTCATCCTTCTTCTTCTACACATTGGACTAGCCTGAAAACTTCCCCACACTTCCAGATCAGACATCTCACTGTATTACTCCATTGTTTAAAAATGCAACACGTTCTCCCACTGAAAACAGAATAAGACCCTGACTCTTTGGCATATTTTATGATGCAAAAATCCTTTACAAACTACCGAAACAGATACCACCCATGCAAGGGTGTGGATAGAAAATAACCCTATGAAAAAATGTTCAATAAGCAGTCATCATGAAACACACATTTTAAAGTTCCTGTGATGTCACCCCATGGTCGTGATGTTGGTTCCATTACTCATGAGGCAGAGGTAGAAGCATCTCTGTGAATCCGAGGCCAGCCTGGTCTACACAGTGAGTTCTAGGAAGGCTGGAGCTATGTAGTGAGACCCAGTCTCAAAAACAAATAAAACCAAACCCAAAACACAAACAAGTCACAATAGCAAGAGGAGGTGGAGGAAATGGAGGTCTTGGGCCTTGCTAGGGCATGTTAAAGTATGCTAACACTAGGGCAAACTGTTAGTTTCTTAAAAAGTTAAACTTATACTTACCATACTGTTGAGCTACTCTATGTGTGGGTCTTACCTAAGAGAAAGGAAAGTGCTTGTCTAGGGAAAGACTCATACACAACACTTGTGGTAGTTCATTCATAGTAACAGGAAACTGGAACCAATTTCAGCACCCATTAAGAATCAAATGATTAAAAAAATTGGGGTAGGGTCACATGATTGGTAGAGCAGTTTAAGAGCAAATACTAAATGAAAATCCTAAAGCAATATAGATGTACAAAAATAATATAGATGTACAGATCCATTGGGTAAAAGAAAATAGGCAAGCAAGTGTGAACAATCTGTGTGAGTCTAGGATGGTCACAAGTGTGAACAATCTGTATGAGTCTCGGGTTGTCACACAAAGTATTGTAAACCAATTGGCTTTACCAGTGGAAACATCATTATTTAGGGCTAGGCAGAATCGGTTTCTTTTCTTTTGACTTCTAAGATGGTCATCCTCTCCCAGGCCCTTCATATAGCCTTCTCTCTGTACTTATCTGTGTCTAGACAAATACCTCTTAGAAGGATCCCAGTCAGCTTGGAGCCTGCTCCAAAGCCCTCATTTTTATTTTATTACTTGATAGATGATCCCATCTTCATGCAGTGTCACTCTCTGAAGTATTGTGGATTAGCATCAGCTCATGACATTTAGGGAGATACAGTTTATCGTGTAACATGGTGGTTCCGCTCATCTAAGATTCGAGAAAATGCAAGCAGATCGACGGTGACAGAAATCCCCATAGTCACCTGGGCATTGGAGCTGGTGAGTGGTAGAAGTGTGAGAAAGCTTCAGAGGGGTGGCAGACACACTCTTGTTTTCATTTGTGGTGGTGGCTTCATGGGTGCTTTCACCTGGCAACGTCGAACTCATCATATACCTTAAGAATACGTGCACACAGTCTGCTGTGAGCTTTTAAGAAATTGTGGTGTTCCCTTACCTTCTCATTCTCTTCCAGTCCCAGGTCCAGCCTCTCCCTTTATGCACCACACACCCTGACTGTCAGTTTCCTCAAACAGACCCAGACGCCTTTGCAAATGGCTCCACTGCTTTGAATGTCCTCTGTCCTTTTCTGCTTCATGAATACAATTTGGAAAACACATTTGCAGTCTGTAGGCTCAGTGGATCATCTATCTGATTGCATTCATGGCTTTGTTACAGTTATTTTGTGTGGTATATAATTGCAAAAAACAAAATGGAGCCAGCAACATGGCTTAGAAGGTACTTACCACCCAACCTGACAACCTGAATTCAACACCAAAGACCTGTAGGGTAAAAGGAGAGAACTGGCTCCCACAGATTGTCCTCTCATTTCCACAAGTTCCCCTCACATAAACAAACAAAGAAAAAGAATTGTAAAAATAATTTTGCTTGTATTCAATTAAATTCAGTTTTTTTTGGAGTTAATTTTTTTGGGAGGTTGAAAATAAACTTTTATTTTGGAATCATTTTAGGTTTATAGAAAAACAGCCAAATTGCAAACATAATGCAGAACATTGACATTTTGTATTGTTAAAAGTAGGAAGTCAACCCTGGTACATTTACTACTATCAAAATGTCAGCCTTCATTCACATTTCAGGAATCTTCCCACTCATGTCCTTTTTCTGCTTCAGGACCCAGCACAGGCTACCCATCACATTTTATTATCATGTCACTGATGTCCTCTGGTTTGTGATAATGTCACACTCTTTGCTGCTCTGCTTCTGTTGGTTTGATATTGTTTCATTTTAATATTGTTCATCTGACCCCTAGAAGTTAAGAAAATCAATGATTTATGTGACCTCCTATGTACCTACCTGTAAAGGATTCTCCAGACACTAGAAGAAAAGAATTAATTAGACAACATGACAAAGGAGACTTTTTTTTTGGTTTTACAAGACAGGGTTTCTCTGTATTGTTTTGGAGGCTGTCAGTCCAGCCCGGCCTCAAACTCATAGAGATCTGCCTGCCTCTGCCTCCCGAGTGCTGGGATTAAAGGCAGCCCGGCCTCAGACTCATAGAGATCTGCCTGCCTCTGCCTCCCGAGTGCTGGGATTAAAGGCCTGTGCCACCACTGCCCGGCCAACAAAGGAGACTTTAGAAGAATGCCTTACATGATTACAGCTAGATAGCACAATAATGGCCATCCCTCAACAATGACCATCTATGCATCTATGTCTACATGCTTGGAGAGACTAAGAACAAAACTCAGTCCAACAAGCTGGTGCTGAAGTCCTGTATGATTTCTGGAGAGCCACTGGTCTTTAGTCTATATTGGAAGGCTTAAGACTCTGGTTCCCAATGTGGGGAAGAATGGTGAAAACAGCAGCAGCAGGAGTGACAGAGTAGATGTTCTTCCCAACAAGGAGGAAAGAAGGCAGGCAAAGCCTACCCTCTTATGATTATCTGGGCCACCTTAGGAAGTCCCTGTCCTCTCTGGGGGAGGGGTTTTCCCTTTATGTTACTCCTTCAAGGAAATAGCCTCATGGGCCTTCCTGGAGGTATGTCTTGTAGTTGATCTCAGATGCAATCAAGCTGATGACCAAGGTTAATCAGCACAATGCCACTCATACCTTTTTGAGTGTCATCTCTTTTCAACCCTCAAAATCATCTGGAGACAGCTACTCTTGATTACCACTCCACTGGTTTAACAGATGAAGAATGCACTCAAGCAGCACAGACCTTTAGCTAGTTTAACTCTTAACCACTAGTGTGAGGCAACCAGTGAACATGAGTTAGATGGATCGATTCATTTGTACAAAGTGTTTCTGCAGAGTAGAGTCCCTATAGAAAGTGTACATCTCCTTAGCTTCATCTGGAGATGTTCAACCTTGGTTTGTCATTCTGGAAAACATGCAGCCCAAGCCAAGGAGCTGCATCACAGTCCACCCGTCCCTACCACAGACAACAACCACAACTCTCCAGATGGGCACCTTTCCCACCCCCAGGAGAGAGATTATCAGAATAAACCATGACTGCACCAAACCACACTTGGGACACCTCCAGCACAGACATTTGTAGTGAGAAGGAAATGGTTTATAATGCTGAACTATTTTCTGGGGATCATGAAAGGAGTTCAAGTCTGTGTAGACTGGAAGCCAGCTGCAGTGCCCCTAGAGGCAAGATCGGCATGCATTTTTCAACTGTGAGCCAGGCAAGACAGCCTTTGGCCATTTCCCTCTGGATAATCTGTGGAGTCCTCAAAATGAAAACTCACTCTTCTCCTAGTTGTGTTACCATGCAAGGAGATTTATGGGAAATTCTCTGTGGTAATTGAAGACTGTTTTCTGCATCCTCAACTTACAGACAGTAGAAAAGCATGAAGAAATGCTGGAAAAGTTGAGCTGAGATGTATCTGTTATGCTTAGTGTGGAAAGAGGCTGAGGGTTAAGGCAATCCCCCCAAATTCTCGGAAAGTCATCCCCTCATGTTTTCCTCAAACTGCTGCCTGTTGATGGCTTTCTTCCTAATAACAATAAAAGACCTGCTTGCTTACCTCAAATCATTGGTCCTCATTTAAGCAGAGAGCTTGAGGGATTGGGCCATCCCATGGGTTTCCGAGCTAAAGCCGGGTCGGTAGGAGGTGGCACGGAAGATGCAGGCCGCAGCAAAGCCACCCACTGGTCAGGTGGAGCCAGTGTCTCAGGGCACCGAGTCCTATCCATCGTTTCCCTGTTGCCAATTTTCTGTCATGGAGGATGTAACATTAACATAGTCCTCTGTGAACCCTGCTCAGCAGGAGCATGACTGCCTGGGGCAGAGGAGCAAGAAAATGGCACAGAAAGTCTGTCCCTCCCCCATAAAGTGAAAGGGCAATCTGTCACATATAAACTAGAACTGACCCATTTTCCCCTTCCTCACCTTGATCGACTCCACTTAGCAGTCGGCAGTGTCCCTGGAACACCTTCCCTGAGATCCAGGCTTGGCAAACTTTTTCTGCAGAGGGTCAGATAGGAAATAACTTAGGCTTTGCCAGCTGTGCCATAGCTGTTGTGAAGCTTGGACTTTGCTCTTGGGTTTTCACTGTAATAACAATAAAATCACGGAAACAGCCACTGACAATCCATACATGAATGAGCATGATTGCTGGCCAATAAAACTTTATTTACAAAAACCCATGGCTAGCCAGATTAGACCCCTGGGTCGTAGTTTACAGATGACTCCCTTCCATAAATGGCTCCAAAAAGAACCAAGAATTTCTAGGCAGAGAAAAATTATTTTGCCAGTCATGGTATTTTTATTGTTAGTATACTCTCAAGAAAGCTGATTGAAAATCTATACCATATTCGTGGAATGATTAAAACTTGGGGAAGATATAGAATTTGTGCAATAAATCATTTTTATAAAACAAAAGTCTATTTATACTGTTGAACTTGGTGTGCTATCTACTTGTAATAGTCACTGAAAGTGACTGGTCAGTGGTGGAGCATGCCTTTAATCTCAACGCTCAGGAGGCAGAGACAAGCAGATCTCCATGAGTTTGAGACTGATCTGGTCTGCAAAGCAAGTTCTAGGACAATCAGGGCTGTTACACAGAGAAAACAGAGAAACCATGTCTTGAAAAAACAAAAAAAGAATAAAAATAAAAAAGTCACTGAATTTCTTCCTTGGATAATTTTTAACATTACTATTGAAGATCTTGTATGTATAGTATATTTTACTTGCTCAAGTCTCTCAATACTTAGTCTACCTAGAGAGATGATCTATATATTCTACAGATAATGATAATATTATTTTGGAGTATAATGACTCCTCTTTGAATAATTCCTCTCAATGTGTCTCTGTAGCACCCAGTTATCTCTGGCATGATTTCTGAAAAAAGAAAACACAACAACCAAACAACCAACTGACCAACCAACCAAACAAACAAACAAATAAACAACAAGACCATTTCTTTTAGATAACCAGTGTATCCCAAATCTTTCTTAGAAATCGCAATGAAGATTTATAGTGCCAAGTTCAAGTACCATTGTCTATCAGATAACCTAGATTAAATAATAACAGCAGGGGGAAAAAGCACTGCAAAACACATCTAAAGGAGTTTCTGTCTGAGGAATGCCCACAGAGGTTGGATTGGATCTTTAACCCAAGCCCTTACTCTGAGCTCATGTAGCTGGTCCCTTGACTTCTAGTTGGGTGTCATCTAGAGAGATCTCAAATGGTAACATCAGTTGCACCACTGTGAAAAACATCACCTCCAACCCCCTGTATAAATGGAATTGAAACTAATCAAATGTTTATGATCCAACATTAGAAACTTTATTCCTTTTTTTTTCTTTTTTGAGACAGAGTCTTGTAGTTCAGGATGGTCCTGAACTCATAATGTAGTTGAAGCTCATCTTGAACTCTTGATCTTCCTGTTTCCAGCTTCAGAGTTCTGAAATTACAGTAGTACAAAACAACACCGAATTCATGCAGTTCTGGGTATTGAAGCCAAAAGCTCAGGCATGTTAGGCAGATGCTTTACTAGTAGAATCATACCACAAACAGGATTGTCCTTGCTATTCTCTTCCCACTTCTTTGTTTCAAAACCAATAAACCCTGCAATAGGAATCTGAATTTTTAAAATATTTTATTTATTTATTGTGTATACAGCCTTTTGCCTGCGGGCCAGCAGAGGGTACAAGATCTCATTCAAGGTGGTTGTGAGCAACCATGTGGTTGCTGGGAATTGAACTCAGGATCTCTGGAAGAACAGTCAGTGATCTTAACTGCTGAGCCATCTCTCCAGTCCATAATGCGTAGCCCAGGCTGGCCTCGAATTCGTGATCCTTTGCCTCTGCCTCCTTCAGCAAATCCTACCGGCGTTCACCACCACAACCGGTGAATCTGAATTTTCATACTATGTTCCAAGGCGATTCTCCAGTGTCCTAGGACAGTTTGCTAGCTCAAGTCCTCCAGATTCTGGTCTTGTTACTGTATCACTCTGGCTCCCTGCTCACCTGCTTTCTTTGTGTGTGTGTGTGTGTGTGTGTGTGTGTGTGTGTGTGTGAGAGAGAGAGAGAGAGAGAGAGAGAGAGTGACAGATAAAGCATATGAGTGGAGATAAGAGGAAAACTTACAGAGAACCACTTGTTGGCTTTTTGTGCGATGAGGGTATGGAAATCAGGTCATTGCTCCTACTACTCACCTATCTCTTGGTCCACTCCTTCCTTCTTGCTGTCCACTCCCTAGAGTGGGTTCTAAAGAGAAAACTAGGCTGTGGCATTCTGCCTCCCTAAGCCTTTTGGTATTCTTGACCATCTGCAAGTTGACTCAGTTTTCCTTCTAGAGCATGTAGTAAAATTGAGCTGCTTCGATGTAGCTAATAACCACACATAAGGGACACCCATCCCTCACTGATGTAACATCAAGAGTACACACTACCTCCTTTCTTCTGGTCCAAATACAAACCTCAGGTAACCCAAACCAGGACCCCACCTAAAGACCTTTGTATTTTCTGGTCCTTCCACTCAGATATTTGGGAACCTGCTATATGTTTCTCACCATGCAGCTCTGGATAGATGCCTCTCTTTTAGAGGCCTTCTTCCACTATCCTAGCCTAAGCTCTGAGTCTAACATTTGGAACTCCCCATCCAACCACCCTATTCTATTTTATCTTCCTTATGAAACATTCCATTCCCAGAATTATCCACTCATTTGATTCTGTGTTTATAATCTGTCTTTTCTGGGACAGACCCTTGTCTATCTTTTCATTGCTGTACGTGCAACACTTCATCAGTCTCTGGATTACAGTAGTTGCCGGAAAAGTACTGTCTACAGTGGGCATTGCCTCTAGGTCATCAGACACCAGGTTCCCCAGAAATGAGCAGGGCAGTTCCTGCATGATGGAGCTGATAGAGCTATCAGAAGGCAGCAGGCATCTGGGCACCTGCTTCTCTTTATGTAACACCAGGAGGATAATGTTAGATAGCTTATTAGAACAAGAACTCTGAGGATGCAGGATTTATGAATGTTATGTCAAAAGAGAAGGAAATATCAGAGGGTGAAGAAAAATCACTTTGGAAAGGAAGAGAAATGAGGAAGCTAGGCTCTTTAGAGGTTCTTGGAATACCTTAGTACCCAGACATATTTTTATTGTTCATTGTATATTTCAAAAGTAGCAGTAAGTTTAAGAATACCTTAATATCTATCATAGGAGTTGGTAGAAATTAAGGATTTTGACAGGCTTAACTGAGGCATTAAAAGTTGTTATGTGAGGTAACTGTTTACCACAGATGTCAGCAGACCCTGGGGAGCCACCGGTGCCCAGATCATTGGAACCACAAAGCTCAGGTGGCTCTATGTGCCAGATCTCCACCTTATTTTTCTGTTAAGCATTTCCCAGCAGTCTTCCACTAATGCCTTTCTTTAAAAAATGAGAAATGAGTTGGACTCAGAATCACAAATGACAGCCCAGAGTGTCATGGCTTTACTTAGCTCACCCAGTATTCTATGAGTCTATATATTTTGGATGCAGAGAACTACCATAGTTCATTCTCTCACCTGTTTTCTGAAAATTTGGGTTCATTTGGTTCATGGTTAAAAACCTCATTACATTTGATTACACCTGCACCTTTCCCCATAAGTCAGAGATAGAACAAGGAAATAAAATCATAAATGAGGGAGGAAAAAAAACCCTTATGGGATGGCTTTTCACAGCACATTCATGCTCTGCCTCTGTGGGCATGCGCAGTAGGACTTTTAGAAGCACAAACACCAAAAAGAACAGAGTCAAAGTTAGTCTCCATCTTTCTCTAAATAAAAAGAAGTAAAGACATTTTGATGTGACATGTATATATGCTGTAGTTCTGCATCTGCTGTCTAGGTGATGAACGACTTTCTCTTGTGATTTCATCTATACTGGGTACACAACCAGTTTCCGCTATTGGGGTGCAGCTTTTTGAAGAAGAAATCCATTTCTCATGGTAACTTATGTTGTATGTTACTCCGTTTATACTTTAGTAGACACTGCCAAATGCTACTGAATATCCATTATATCCTTCATGCTCAATAATGAATATTGTTGGGTTGCCACAAATCCAACTGAAAATAATTAAGAAAAGTACTTAATGCCTCAGCCTTCTTTAAAAATGACAGTCATGGCAAAATAAGATTTTCTTATCTTCCTCCCCATCATATTTCTTCCTCCTCCTCTTCCTTTTTATGTCTCTTTCTTCTACCTCCCCATCTCCTCTTTTCTTATTCCTTGTCTTCCTTCTTCTTCTAGCTTCTTGCTTTTAACTTCTTGCCTGATAGTGACTATTCTGTGTGGAGCTTCAGTAGTTGCTTGAGAGTAAGGCCAAGAGAATGGGGGGCTGTGGATGCTGTCATGTTGAAGCAGTTGCTATACTAACATCAGCAATCATCAACAGAGATTTTTAGTTACAGGGCGTAAACAACCACTTCTTTGTTTAATCCGATGGATTACAGTTGATATCCAAAGGTGGATCCCAGATTGAAAGTCACCACATTGTACCACTGCATTTCTAAACGGATCAGAAAGGAAGGCCAATTCCATTACACACATTGTTATATATTTTATGTTTAAAAACACCAACACCATGGGCCTTCCCAGTGGTAGGTGTTGCATAAATAATTGTTGTGCAAACTATAAGAAGACCAATTCAACTCCATCAACGGCATCATCTTTACCCAATGCCTCAATTACACCATTGGTTTAAACCTAAGAAATCACATTTTTATTTTGTATTTTTTCTTACAGTTGCATTCTACAGACAGCATTCATCGCAGGAAACACCCGGAGGAGTTGCTTGTTTATTTCAGGGTAGTCTTCATTTTGTAGCTTCTTCCATTTTATGTCTTATACTTTTATGTTCATTAAGTGCCTGTACCATAAAAATAATCCTTTACAGTTGTTGAGCGTGTTTAACTCCCCAGGAGCTCATTAACTCCTTTGTTCTCATTTTACCCAAACCTTACCAAGGAATGAAAAAAAAATAATTAGGCCTACTTTATGTAGGAGAAGCATGAGAGGCAAACAGGGGAAGTGACTTAATTTCTAAAAATATGGTTGAGATGAGAACTGGAATATGCTGTCTTCCATTGCTAACTAGACACTCTCTTTTAAAAGGATGCCAACACCTGCCAGCGCTGATTACTTTGTTTGCTTGTCTGGAGTAGAGAGTTAAGTAGGATTATGAAGCCATGTTTGAGCTTTGCAGACAGAAGGGCAACAATTGGTTTAACAATGCTTGGGGCAGAGATGAGTGGTGAAGATTGCTATTGGAGGCACTCTTGTACCTTGCATTTGCTATTCTGTATCAATAACAAAAGGGAATCACGTACATGTGAACACACAGCATGTGTGTGTTCACACACAGTTATTCTAAAGATACCATCATGCTCCTGTAGACCTTGTTCAGTCCTTGTTTTTATCTCTGGTAATTTTGTCCTGATAATAAAGATTTATTAATTCTATGTAATCATTGGATGTGATGATGATGGTAATGATGGTATGGATGAGGTTGATGGTGATGCAGCAAATAGTTATGGTGATAAGGTAACAATGATAATGATGGTGATGGTGATAATGATGGGGGTGGCAATAGCGGTGACGTTGGTGATAATAGTGATGGTTTTCCTACTTAGCTTTAATTGCCAACTAGACAAAACCTAGAGTTACCTTAGAAGGGACTCCTAACTTGGCCTGTGGTCATGTTTATAGGAAGATTATCTTGATATAGAAAGGTCCAGATCACTATTTTCCAGGACCAATGGGCCTACCATGAATGAGAAAGATAGCTGAATATAAATGAGCCAACAAACAGGAAGCAGCATTCCGCCATGATTTTTGCTTCAAGTTCCTGTTTAAGGTCCTGCTCTGGCTTCCCATTGGACTTCAGTTTATAAAACTGAAATAAGTTCTTTCCTTCTTAATTTGATTTTAGTTAGAGTGTTTTATCACAGCAACAGAGATAAAAACAGAATAATGAGGATGATGGCGGTGGTGGTGATAGTGGTGATGATGATGACAATGATGGTGATTGGGATAATAGTGATGGTGGTGGAGATGATGGTTAGTGATTGTGATGGTGGTGATGATTATGATGGTAATGATGATGGTGATGGTGATCATAATGATAGTGATGATCATTTCTCAGTTTCAGAACAGTTATGAGGACTAAATGGCTCATCTAAATGAACTCATCCTGGGATAAGCAGTGGACATTTTTGTTGATACTTATGCCTCAGAAGGCTTCTCTCCACATCCACCTGCTGAAGATGGACTGAGTATGGCATACGAATACAGCAAAGCTTAGTGGGTGTTGGAGCGTGGGGAGAGCTGGAGTCTCTTCCCCCAAAGGACAGCCTTCTACTCATCTCCAGGCTACCCTTGTGCGATGAAACCTTCTAGCTAGTAGGTATAATTAATTTTACAGAAAGTGGAAATGCATAGACTATGTAAAAAATTTTCACTTTGAAATTTTGGCAAATTATTTAAAATTTAAAAATGATTGTGAGAGTTCAAAACACTCCATGTTTAAGAACGAGGTACCATTTAAGTATGTTTGTGCTCCAAGGTGAGATACCAAGAAATAGAAAGTCCACCAGGGACATGTGAGTGCTCAAACATCAACTTTGAGCCAGAACTATTTGTTTGTTCATTCATTTAGATAAGGTCTCATGCAATGTAGACAGGCTTCAAACTCACTATGTAGCTGAGTTGATACTGAACTCTAGATTCCCCTGCCCCCATCTCATTTGGTGCTATAGCTAGACCTCATTTTACACAAGAGTGTTACTAACTCCCAAGACCTGGGATTATCATGATGATACTTGGATCCAGTTGTCCCAGTGGTTCTCAAATGTGGGTGGAGACTTCTTTGGGGGTCATATATCAGACACCCTGCATATCAGATATTTACATTATGATTTCTGACCCCATCAAGATTACAGTTGTGAAGTAGCAACGAAAATAATTTCATGGTTGGGGTTACCACAACATGAGAAACTGTATTAAAGTCTGGTAGCATTAGGAAGGTTGAGAACCCCTGCTACACACACTGTTCAAGCTCTGTCTCATGTATTAGATGAGACAGGAATGAAGACCTCGGTCCCTGGAGCTTTTTCATAAAGGAAGTGGTGCTGATGAATGGCTTTGGGATAAAGTGGCTTTAGGAACAGAATCAACTTTTCCCAAAGTAGAAGAGCATATTGGGATTTCCAGGATACATCATGAGTTGGAACATGGAGTTTTCATTTTCTAACTGTTTGGAGCAGACATTGTTGGGCTGAGATTTGGGTTATTGGCAATAAATCGGGGGCAAAACTGGGACATTTCTATGCAAATAATTGAGGGAAAAGCATGGCAGGAACTTCTAGACATTGGGGCTGTGAAACAGAAGTAGAAGGAGAAACTGTTTGAGGACTGTCGCCTTGGAGAGCTTCAGAGCGACGGTGGGCAGTGTCCATCCAACTACCTTTTAAAGACAGGGAGTTGGACTGCAGCCAGGGGCCTCAGTATTTCCTTGAAAATATTTCTTAATTTCTTACTTTGGCTTCGAAAGTCGTCATGTTTTTCATAAGTTTGTGCTTCGAAATGTCTCTTCTTCCATAGATTAAGTTCCGCAGATGAGTTCATGTAAGGAATGCATTTTTTAATTTTAGCACTTTCTATAAATGGGTTTTCCAAACTCTAAGCTGAAGTTGTTACCACGACGGGGAACATGGAGATAATTTTTCATTCTTTCATGCTATGCTGAATGTCAATCGTAGAAACTCCTAAAAATAATCATACCTTATATTTATAAAGCAGCTTCCCCGAGTTCACAGACTGCTTTGTAGACATCATGTAATTAATCCCCACAAAGCATTCTGAAGACAGGAGTGTGATCTCCAGCTAATATTTGTCTTAGGTAGAAAGGTTACATACCCTCACATCTTCTGCTTATACAGTGTTATTTTCGGTGAACTTTAGAACAGGCACCGACGACCAGGCTTACCGTCCAAAACTATTTCTTATTACTGTGTTGCAATGAGATAGGCCAGAGAAGTGTAGAACAGGAGATATGACTTTCAGGGACATGGAGGACAAGTCATGCCCAGGCTGCTGCAGGTTTATGGATGTTTGATTTCTTTTTCAGACTCATGGAGAGCTCTTCCGGAAGTGTGAGGTGAGGACACAGAGGCAGATTCTAATACTACTGGATAAAATATTGAGCAATGCTTGATTGAGAAGGTAAAGGAGGGGGATCAGTACTAGAATGAGGCAGGGTATATTTCAGGGCACAGCCATTTCTCAGCCATTGTCTACCCACTGTGACACCTAATGTCTTTCCCGAGGAGTTCTGTCTTCATCTCTCCTATACATTCATGAAGTATTTTGGGACCAGATCTGCAGTGACCATAACCACTTCAGAATGAATTTCAGCCAGGACAATTCCTGTGAAACATCTCACCACTTTACACTTCTTTTCTAATTTTCCCATGAAAGAATTGAATGGCTTAGTACACGTAGCTCCTAGCCCAGAGTCAGGTGTGTAGTAAATGACTGTGTAAGTCAGTGTTATTATTCATGAAGTCGCCAGACACAGTTGAGTGACAATGACAGTTTCCTGAGTATAGCATGTTTGCATGTTCTTGAGAACACATCTCACGGGGAGCCCTTGACTCCATCTATGCAGAATCTTGTCCTGGCAGGGAACACAGTCAAAGCACTGCCTTCATGTTCCTGGCAGGTGGCTGAAGAGTTGACAAAGGGAAATGTAGGGTTGGGGGTGGGGCTTAAGTCTGAAGAGATCTGGTGTGTATGGTGGGGAGTGGAGGTCATGATAGATGGCCAAAGAAGGAAAAAGTTGACCAAACTCTGCAGAAGAACACCCAAGTTCCAACTTGGAGGAGCAACACCATCAGTAGCTGAGCATGCTGTTCACATCTGGCTGGGGACAATGTTTATGTAAGCTTTGGCTTGTGCCAGGCCCAGCAGGCTGCCTCAGGTTCACAGCTGAACATTACCACCAGGGCACTCACTGATCAGCAGTGGCCAGCAGGCAAGGACAGCCAGGGATATTCTTGCCAGCCTGGGGTTCTGGGACTGACCTGGAGGGTTTTGGAATTGGCAAGAAAGCTAGATGCTTTTCCACCAGCCAAGTCAATCTTGGTGATTGCAGGCCCAAAATTTAGCAACTGTACATTTTCCAGACTTCACCTCATTGTTTCCCATAGTCCCTTTCAAACTAAAGGCTTAGCACCAAATCCATCTTGAAGTGCAAACTAGGCCTTGAGTTGCCCTGGATCTAGGGTGGAAGCAGATCGTCTGCTTTTAGTGGAGTCTACTTAAGGCACCCAACTTGCACTTGGCTCACCCTGAAAAGAAGATTTTCTTGAGGAAGAGCCCAAGGCTATGGAAGTCTGCCCTTGGCAATGAAGAGGAAGCCCTCGATGAGGTAGTGACAAGGGCCTCAGACACACAAACGTTGCAGTGTATGGCAGCCTCTGAAGATTCAAGGACACAAAAGAATGGAACCAACGAGGCTCTTTTGTATATTAGCTGCAAGGAAAATATTTTTGCTTTGAATTTAATCATCATTGGAACAATAGCACTGCCTTGAAGATTTCTTTAATGTTTATTTTACAGACTTTTAAAGCTATTAAGAAAGGCCTATGAAGAGACAGACACCAACGCTGTAATCTATGCCACCAATAGTAGCATCTCTCCTAGATAGGTGACACACAGGTAAACGCTTGGTTTTTCTGAAAATGCATGAATTCTGTTGTTTTTTTTCTAGAAAGCTACAGATATGTCACTGTTATTACTTACAAATATGTAGGTCCAGAATTGTGTGGAACCAGGTGAGGTTTAATAACTTGGTCTTTGCCTCCACTGGGATGAGAATTTCTGGATGTTGCCATCAGTGAGGCAAGTCCTGCAGGCTTCCAACAAAAATGCAACCAAAATGGAGGAAAGGGGGAGTTTACTGGCTCAGGTGAGATGGGAAGGGACTGACACTCAGGGAGCTGCTGTGGGTTGGGGAGGTAGGTCATGCTTCCCAGGCTCAGGCATGTTTACTTCCTCTCTGACATCTGTTGGATTTATCCTATGTGCCTTCTCACCCTATCTTAGCCAAGATGGCCACCAGCAGATTCATCTTCCATCACTCACAGCTTAGAGAAGGGGCCAGGACTAGTTTTTGTAGTTTAGGAAGTGGGGAGGAAAGGAGGCACTGTTAGTGCAGCTGTAGTAGCGAGCCCAGAGTTGGGATGGCCAGGGGAATAGGCAGGAAGGGAAGGGGTTGGGGTAGGACTCAAGACTGTCCAATCCATGTGGATCGCATTACTGCTATGGTTTCAATAACATTCGTGCTTTCTGGTCTGCCACTATGTTAACAACTGTGGCCTCATGGAACCTCTTCTAGGGAAGGAGCTGCTATGCCCTGCCTTCCCCATCATGGCTTTGAGTCAAGATAGATTTTTCCTCTTTTCTGTTGTTTCTATGGATGATTTCATCACAGTGAAGCAAAGTAACGAATATGTCCACCTACACTCTTTTTCAAATGTATCTATTATTAGTATGCATGTGTGTATCTCTCTCCCCCCTTCTGTGTGTAACATGTGTGTAGTAACAGCATGCACATGCCATGATGCATGTGCAGTCAACAGAATGCAGTTTTGTGGAGTCTGTCACCTGCTTCCATCTTTACCTGTTCTCAGGGTTTGCAATTCCAATTGTCAGGCTTGTGTGGTAAGTGCTCTGACTAACCATGCCATCTTACTAGTCCATTTGTCAATACACTCTGCATCCCCAGAGCTTGGATGACAAGCATACACCACTGCTCTTGGCTTTTTATATGACTTTTGGGGATTGAATTGAGTTCCTCTTGCTTGAAAGGCAAGCACTGTACTGACTGTGCCGTCTTCCAGGCTCTCCTGATATGTTTGAATATGAACTATGAATTCAATAACATGTTGCTAGTATAGAACAGGATCATACTGCCCACATTCTTTGAGTCTTTCCTGGTAAGGAGCTTCCTCCTCCATCCCTCCTGGTCGTATGAATACACAGAATAAAGTTCTCTGGTGCTGTGGTAAGAGTGGAATTCCTGTTGGTACCTTCTGGGACATATTCCTGAGAAAGGTCTGGGTCCTCCTTTCCCTTCCCTGTTGCATAAACAGGCATAAGGACACCAGTGATGTCTCAACTTGGGGTTGGAGATGAAGGTAAAATGCTGAGAACGACCAAATAGAAGGCAGAAGGACCAGGGACCCTGATCCTGGCAGCCTCACAGCAGTTGCACATCTGATGACTTCCTGCACACAGTAGCCCTCTTAACATGGTTAAGAGTGAGGAATGAATACAGAAACCAAACCATCTCTCATGCTTCCTAAGGCACTGCCAGAGTACTTGGAGATATTGTCACCGTCTGAGCTTAGATCCGAAGTGTAGCAGTGGACCAAGACCTTAGAGCAAAACAGAAAGGATGAAGCAATGAAAAGTGAGCTGAATAGGGAAGGGACTAATATTATCTTAAACAATCACTTTGTTGACATTCAGGAGGAAAAGCCGAGCTTAAACATGGTTATAAACATACTCAATTGAGCAGACTGAGTCATGATCCTTATAATACATCAGGGAAATCAGAGACATGGGAAAGTTTTAAGCTGAAAGGAATGAGAAGGCTCCCCTGGTCTCCTCATCTAGACCAACTAGAAGGCTCACATGGACCAACCACCTCATTTGAAAGAACAGCATCTTATTTTGGTACCATTGCTATTTTGAACTGATATATCCCTGTTGGGATAATTGTCCTATGCACTGTAAGATAAGAACTGCACCCTGGCCTCTACCACTGGATGGCCCATCTTAGTCATTACAATCAAAGATGTAATATCTCATGTAACTACAGTGTGTGACAGCATAAAAACAATGCTCCAGGGGAGAACCTTCTACTATTTACCTTCCTAAATGGACATGTCATTAAACTGACTCCCAGGGGCTTACCATGCTACCCTTAGATCAATGCATCTCTCAAACTCGTCTGAAAAGTTTCTATTTGCAGATGATGGTGATTAGCAGAGACTCACAACTGACTGAAATGTAGAGGCTAGGAGACCAGAGAATGCTCAGCCCTATAGGCAGCATGGCACACTCCCAAGGCTCCGATCATCACGGAAGAGGGGGTCAAAAGGGTGTAAGAGCCTGAGCTGTTGGTTGACTACAAGGAAATCATTTCTTCTGGACACATCAGGACAGACACCATTATGAATACATAATGGTTGTAACAGCAGGCCCAAAACATGTGAAGTCCAAGCCTGACCAAATTCTAGCATGGAGATGGGCATTGGAAGAGAAATCTCAGCCACACCCTGGAGCTGTTGGCAATTGCATGTAGAGGGAGAGACAGTTTTCTTGAAAGAGTGTGGTCCCTAGTAAACCAACCATGCTTTAGTGGAGAGGACCACACTTCTGAGAATAGGTGGGCACTGCAAATTGGTCCTGATAGATTTTACAAAACAGGAAACAAAAGTGGGTTGAGAGTGAAGTGCGTGCATTGGGGAAGAATTAGAGGACGAGGGATGAGTATGATCAAAAGAGGTACCAAGGTCCCAAAGAACTGCTAATAGTTTAAATGAATAAAAAGCACACGATTGTCGCTACTGAGTACCAGGGAGGGCAAGCTTCTGAGGGCTCTTCTGACTTAACCATGTGTAGAGAGGTGTGTGGATGAGCTCCTGGGAGCACAGTGGCTTTAAACAAAATTAGACATCTCAGGAGCTGTGGAGAAGGTACACTTGGATCTGGTCCTGACCCCACTCAAGTACCCACCATTTAATATGAGATAAGTAATAAACAAAGCATCTTTCCAGGCTGAATTGAGTCAAGAAAGAAAGTTGAATAGGAATGCCTGAGGAAATTTGCATTTTAAAAGTTGCTTTCCAAAAAAATAATAATGTTGTCTTCCCTCATTCAGTTACTGGTAGTTGCATGTTGACTGGGGATGTAATTTTGAGCAAATCAATTCAGCCTCAGTGTTATCACATTGAGTCACAGAATGGCAAGGTTTAAATATGGTGAAAAAGTCATTTCCAAAGGCCTGTGGGAAGACTAGGAACTGATGAGAGAGAGGGCCAGAAAGGAGAAACAGGGAGCTGAAAGAAAAAGATGCCGGCAACACCCTTGGGGTGTTTGAATTGGATATGGGAGTGAGGTGGCCAACACGACTTTGTGATGTAGGATCTTCAGACAATGGGCCATGCAGCCAGTAGAAAGGATACACTCATTAATCTGGAACCAACAGCTTTCCTAAAAAGTAAAAGTTAAAATCATGAAAAGTCCTCAAGATTCTGAGAAGAATTAGTTTCTCTAGAAGAATATCAAGTTTTTTCTCTTTCATTTTTATGGGGGCTAATTAAGATTGATTTACACTTGTAAAACCTGAGGGTTGGACAAGTGTCTCTGAAGCACCATTTAGCTCTGCAGTTCTGTGCTGAGCACAGTGAGTCTGAAAGCACTGTATTTGCAATGGCCAAGGATGGTCAGAAGGGTGAAAACATTTCGGAGGTTGCACAGGGAAGGTGCCTGCCTCCATTCATCATTACCCGGTTCTCAACTGATGTCTTTTGATACAGGTCGAATCTTCCCTTTAATCTGTTGCATATTTTGCAGTTAGAAATTTATGTAAAATTACTAGAATACTCTTATTTGGGTGTAAAAAGAGTTGGGGTGTTTTGTTAACACTTCTTTGTGGGGAGCAGATCCTTGATCTTGGGGTCGTTCACAACAAATGTGCCTTTAAGGGGGCACATTCTCAGTGCCTTTTGTTTGGTTTGTTAAATGATGTACATCTCAGCAAGCTCGCTCCCTAAGAAGGTAAGTTGGAATCGCTCCTGACTTCCCAAGCTCTTCCTGAATCTTATTTTAGCTAGATCGTAAGAAGTAATTTTTCAGTGCAGTGCACATGAAATTAAGCATGCAACTGCTATTATTAATGGGGCCTGCATCTCACTCCCCCCACTGTAACATACACCCTTGTGGGAGACTGAAGCCGTGCTAGGTTGTTCTACTCAAATTATAAAATCTGTAATCTGTCCCTTGAGATAAATGCGTAATTCATTTTCTCGGAAGGAAAACGGAGCCTTTGCCCTTGACATCCCACAGGGCACAGGAGAACCTAGTGCTGGTGGTGAGTGTGTTTCAGTCTCATGTTTTATTTCTCAAAATATGTCCATGACATCAGAGCACACTAAAAATGCCCACAGCAGCCTCTTTGTAATTTTGTTGATCAAATTCCGAGCATCACTTCAGCACATGAGGAATCAATACCGCCTGTTTATTCAGAAATTGTCATCTTTTCAGGACAAGAAAAGCTTTTCCATGTTGCTTTAGCTATGTGCCTCAGGAACAGAGGTGATGCCACCTCTCCTAGTACGGAACAGTTTGCATCTTTGATGCCTGCATTTTACCCAGAATTTTTTTCTTACTATCTGTCTCCTTCACCCAGGACTGGAAGCCATTAATGCCAAGTAAATATATATGTTACCATGCCTATTCTCACACTATCCCAATTGGCCCAGTTCTGGGTAGGTTATTACTAAAGTAGGGGAGATCTGGATCAGTTATAGTAGACAAATGATACTGAATTAAAAAAAAAAAGGAAAGCCCAAGTGGTACTCTTTAAGAGGATGAAACCAGTGAAAGTATCTGGCACACTTGAAAAAACAAAAAGACCCACCAGTCCC